TTAGTACTATTTTTATGTGATCATGTTCAGATTACACTTTTATTAAACTGAATGAAAACAAAATGCCTGTAAGAGACTTGGCAGCTTGTAAAATTGTGTTTATTTCAGACGCTGCTGCTCACTGCTGAGCTGGCACGTGTCACCAAGACAGAAGCGTAACAGTTACACTGTTGCCAGTTTAAGGTTTGCATCCTCCGGTCAGCCCAGCGCCAAACACACGATGTCAGCGTGTGCACAAAAGCTAACACCATCACAAACATGCCTTATTTCACCAGAGATTTCACCTGAGGCAGCTCGTTACAAATGCCTGCTATATATATAAATGCAGGCTCACTCGATGTGGAACAATACAGGATTTAACAAGTATCATCTGTCAGCCTCGGGGGATCGTGAAAGGAGATTATATTCACACATTTATATTTTTATTTCTCAGATAAATTATTTGCAATCTCAAGTCAGCCGTCTTCCACCTTCAGAACGGAGAAATTTGTCACGAGTCATATTTCTTCTTTCCTGTTTCGCCCACAACATCTCGTCTATCAAATTATACATTTATACATCAGCTCGGTGATGTTTCCTGACCTCTAAACATGCAGCGGTGACCCCTTTATGAGTACGGTTTGCATCCACCTCATTCATATCGTAGCGACCTAGCATATCCACGTAGCTCAGGACAGCTAGCTCATTTGTTCTGCTTTCTGAAACCACCTCATCACCCGTGCATCCTACACATGTGTCTCAGGAGGAACGGCGTCCCAGCAGAGAGGCTTCCTGGGCTGCATCAGGTCTCTGACCGTCAACGGTGTCAGCTTCGATCTGGAGGAGAGGGCCAAGATGACGCCGGGAGTGAGCGCCGGCTGTCCCGGCTACTGCACCGGCTCCAGCAGCCTCTGCCACAACCGAGGGAGGTGCGTGGAGAAAAGCAACGGCTACATCTGTGACTGCTCGCAGTCTGCCTACGGAGGAACCACCTGCAACCAAGGTGAGTGCTTGCAAACAACCGTGCGGGCCGCGTAATTCATTTAATGGAATGATGTTGATTCTAACAAACAGATGATCGATCACCGTCGAGGTTATTCCATTACAGCCAACCAATAGCAAATGCAAGTAATGCAGAAGGCAATTAATACCTGTCCTGACTGCAGCTCCAAGAACATTTCAAATGCATTAGAAGAAATTATCTCATGCAGTCTGTGAGCAGAGGAGAGCGCAGACACAAACACATCAACAGCCTGCACAAACAGCAGAGGAGCAGGCTGTGAAAACAAGCATATGGATGCAGTGCAAAGAAACAAATTGAATATACATTCTGTGGGAACGGAGATGAAAAGCCTGGCTGCAAATACGCCTAATCACAGAGTACAATTTACGCTGCTTCGTCCTGTCTGGAATGTTAAACATGAAGGTGGAACCTGCTCACTTCAAAGATGTTGCTGCTTCCTCACAGCGAGCTGTGGTTTGGTTGTTTCTGCAGGCTCGGTTTCAGCGTCATCGCGCTCTGCGTGGGAGTACGAGCTTTTTGAAGCGCTGTGTATTCAAAGTTTCGTCATGTAGAAACAGTTTAAATGCAGCGCTGTGAGTGTTGCATCTGAAAGGATCCCGTTTATTTAATGTTGCCGCGCTTCCATTGTGTCTCTGTTGCTGTATAAGTCGCACTAACGTGTGTCTCACTAACAGTTTGTCACTGAAGGCTTTTTCCTTTCTGCAGTGTGAGTGAAATCCATGTGCTCGCCAGCTGACTGACATATTCATCTGCACATGCCCGTCAGTGATGGTGATACTCTGAGTGCGTGCTGGAGCTCTAACCAATGAGCTTCTCCTTGCTGTAACAGCTTTACTGATCACATGGAAATCTTTGTTTTGGCCAGTTCTGCAGCAGCTTGAGTTTCGCGCTCTCTCAGGATGTCCTGGTGTCTCTCTCCCACTACATTTAGCTCCTTATCTGTCCTGGTAATGGCCCACTGTGTAACCCCACAGCTGACAGTGACCCATCGCTTAGTAAAGTTCTGTCTTCAAGCCTCAAGCAGATCAT